TTAAATTTCAATATAATTAATTTTAATAAAAATATTAATAAATTAATTTAACATTTTTTTATTCCCTTCAATGATTACATTATGTACAGACATGACCTAATAATAATTTAAATTACATAAAAACACAACCGCGACATCATTTTGTCTTTATTTTCCAACTGTAAAATATTTACAAGATAAAACATTCTTCATTTTTTCAAAGATTTCCAAAGAAATCATCTGTTTCCTTAGAAACATCAAAGAACACATTTCCTAAATTTATTTATCATCAAATTATTTGATTAACAATATGTATCATCAATAGATGCAAATCAGTGCATATTTTAGCTATGGAATTAAAGACAAATATTATTTTGTAGAAATTTGTACTGTTTTCATCATTAAGAATAAAAATTTTTCAAAGTTTCTATACATTTACATTGACTTTTTAACATTTTTCTTGAGGATACTCTTAAACTTGGGTTCTTTCAATATATATATATATATAAAGTTCTGTAAGAATAAATATCACATAAAAGATACTAAAGATGTAAACACCAACACCATCATTGTCGAAGATATTGAAAGCCCCATGGTGTCTTTGGTGTTTTAAATTTGAACAAACAACTGAAAATTTTACAATGGGAATCAATGGCAACCGCAACTTGCAGCAACCATGTCATCGTATTGTTTGAGGATAACATTCTCATGTTCGTCAAAATACAGTAAACTAATTGAATAGAGTTTGTTAGGTACACAGCATGGGGTATCTACCCCTGCAGTCAGACTAAGTTGATGGACAATGCTTTGTACTGTCGCGTGATTAGTGGGCCATTGGTTTTGCCCTAAGGGAAACAAACATTCTCCTTTGCAATGGTAGGCGTTGTAACCTTTCGGTGAAATTATCCAAGTTGACCATCCTATTTTTTCAAAGTCTACATAAAGTTCGTGTCGACTACACCCCTCTGATACATTATCTTCTGTAGAACGTCTTAAACGACCGTTACTTGTACTGTTATTTATTGGTAATTCTTTATTTGTAGGTGCACGATTTAGTTGACTGTAATACGACAATTCCGGATATCCATAATTATGAAAATCTATTAAAAATAGTATCAATTTAAAAAAAAATATTCAGATATTATTGAATATTCAGAAAGAAATATATATATATATATATACATAACAAACATCATTAAATGATATTTAACAAGAACTATGTTAAAAGGACAGGAAGCAACAGACTTGGATTTATCGATCGAAGTTACCAAATATAACTCTAATATGTCTTATTCTATTAAACGGCATGCATATTTACATTTCTCCAACACCTTTTTATATATATATTTAATAAAATGTTTTTGTTTACATGATAGAAAATGAACGTGTTGTTTTAATTGAGCTATTCTCTTTAGAACAGGGATTTTCAACCGACATATCATGGCACCGAGGAACTTCTCACCATAAAATCTCAAAAAAAAAGTTTAAAAATGCTAATTTTTTTCTACATTTTATTTTTATTTGTATATTAGCCTATTTATATAAAAAAAAAAAAAAATTAAATCTTCAACGTTGTGTTTCCTTTCGTTTATACATATAGGCAAGGTCGTGGAAAGTGATCATGGGCCCTGGGGCAAGGATCTCCCGGGCCTCTCTAGACCTTCTGACGTGACGCTTTAGGTTTATCATATTTCTTATTTCTCTTTTATGCACTTGAAACTACATAAATTGATTTTCTTACACTTCATTATTAAAATTGTATTATAGATTCCGGCCCAGAGCCCGGTTTCTCATCTCTTTCGTTAGCTCTGAACAAAGGGTGCCACTAGCTTAGAAATATAGAAAATAAAATAATATATTGTAAATTCTTACCAAATTGTGGAAATGAAGATTTCTGCTTTGACTTTCCATCATCGCTGAACAGGACTAAAATCGGTTGTTTGTTAATATGATGTTGATGTCTTTTGGCAAATCTTAATGTGCCATCAGTAATTGGGGTACCCATTATAGTTTTTACCGTCACCAAGAGACCTGTGATTAAAAACAAAAACAATATACACGTGAATAAATATATATAAAATTAGTTCTTCTTGAGGAATTAAGTGAATTGGATCACGCATAAGCCATTATTATACTAGTCCATCGACTTTTACCGTTTTTATGACCCTCGTTAACATAAGGTTGGAAGTCGTAACTGTGCGATAATATGGATCTTGATATCAAAAGATAGCAATTGCTGGGAATTTATTGTTCTAAATTTTTGAATTTAATCAATAAAATTATTCTTTCTTTCTTCGAATAATCATGCAAATATATACATAATATGTTTGTATAAATTAAAGTAGGAAAATGTTTTCGTTGACAAGTGAATTTGAATTTTAAAAATAATTTATATTTTATGAAGATTTTACATAATTTTTGTAATGTAAATCCAGAAAATCAACTGTAAGATGCCTATTAACCGTGTTTTGCTTGTGTTTCTCCAAGTAGGCTACACTTGTGATTATGAATCGTAAACTGAATTTAAAAAATATGTTTTTCGTTTATAAAATTATTGGAAACCTGATAATAAGCATAAGTACGTAATTAGATAAGACAACAATTTAGTCTTTATAATAATTAGCTAACTTTTGTGCTCCCTTATATATATATAACCTATGTATAAGATCATACAAGGATAATCAAGATAAGACCATTTTATTCAATTTCTTTAAACAAATTTTATCAAAATTGTTCAAAATATCCACACTATTGTCATAAAATAATTAACACAATAATTGTACGTATTAGAATTATATAGTACAGTACTTTGTTCTTTACAATGGTTAACTTGTCTTTTGGGTCTCCCTGTATACGATTAGGCTAATAAAGTTTTCAAAGATTTTGGTAAAGGTATCCGATATTGAAGATCCCACTGGTATAATGTTTTTAATTTTTTTACTTTAAATAATTTAAAATTTATTTTTACAAGAATATGATAGGAGAAAAGTATTCGCACTTCATTAATTCTGTCTCGGTTTTCAACACAGACAATACTGAGGTCGTTTCGATTAAATAGGCCACACTGCACTGGGAATAACTTAGAAAATAATAACTTTACATTGACTATGCATTATAAATAACATTTTTATTTAATCTTCATATATCAATATTTAATAAACTTAAGTTTTAATGAATATAAATAACGAAAGGAGTTAATTAATATTCGTAAAACTTAAAGGAAACAAGATCAATAATAAAAAGTTTAGTAAATTTATATCATAAATTATATATAATTTATGAGCTTTGACGTTTTATTATTTATAATCGCTAAGAATGTAACATTCATTCCATCTGATGAATAATTTGTTGCATCCAGCTCCAATAAAAAGTGAAGTATCTGAAAACTTCTTTTATCTGAACAGACACAGAAAAGCACCAAAATTTAATTTGTTATGTAAAAAGATAATACAAAATTGATATGTATTAGAACTTTTATACAAAATAGTGAAAAAAAACTAATTTATATTACTCAAAATACAGTAATATCACACTTAGACTTTATTTAATATTTCGACAAATTTCTATTTAACTTGCACCAAAGTCGGCAAGAAAGATTAATAATTAATTGTACTGTATGTAAAAACGATCACGTTCTAGCCACAGGAAACAGAAATATCAATAATGTGTTCTGAAATGGCCGAAAATAATAGTCTATCACACTTAGAGGTTACACACAAGAATCCTTTTTTCATCACAACTTTGAACAATCGATTAAAGCATTGACGCAATCAATTTTCGAATACGTTTCGTGAAGATTTGTTTCCATGCAGAGTTGTCAGTTTGGGGATAGAATTATATTGTTTACCTGCACCGTAGACAATATGATATAAATCATCCCAAAGGTTCTCAACACTGTTCAGATGCGGTGAACAGATCGCCTGTCAAGCAGGGTCACATCTATATTCTCAAAGAACTCTTCTCTAGACACTGGAAACCTGGCATTGTCCGATTAAAAAACCCGCAACTTTCTCTTAAAATTTCAATTGAGCACCAGCTATCTTCAGGCGATATTCGATTACCTGAAATGACCCCAAGTTTGTCGTTCCGCTATAACCGGAAATAATCCAAACCATCAGTGATCAACCTCAAAAACATGCTTTGTATTGGACATTTTATCCAATTTTTATCGGCCTAGTAAAAATTTTGTCCGTCAAGTTAAAAGTTTTTCGTATCCATAAATATTAGTTTTTGCCAGAAGATAACTCAAAAATGTTTCTAGGCAAATTCTAGGCTAGCTAACTTGTGTCTTTGAGCCATTAAGGCATGCTACATTTTGATAAATTTGACGTTTTCGGACAGGCTATCGGCATCAGTTATTCATCGAGCTCTGGCGCCTCGAAGAACATCTATTTAGAGAGTCTTCACATGAGATTTTCTGAAATGGCTTGTTTTCTTTAAGTGAAATGTTTATGATGGCACGCTTGTCCCTTGAAGTCACCCACTGTTGTAGACTTTTGACTTCTAAGATCCTCGTGGTACACGAATTTACAGATAATGAAACGATGTTTGTTCAATTTCTTAGCAATTTGTGTTGGTGTTAAATGGCACCCGTATCATAAGCTTGAATGTTGACCTTTTGTTCTGTATTAAGATCAATCTTACGCCCCAACAGCTTACAGAGTCGCGATTCTAATCATATTATTTAATAAACAACGAAATTAATCGCTTCATAATTTGCTTATTAAATAGTTTATTAATTATTATTACTAAATTAATTAAAGTCAGCGTGATATTGCTTTGATACGAAGTAATATATAGACTATAGCTTTCATGTAAACTGAAACCTATAGCCTATATATTAACATAAACAGGATGTAGACTGAAGATATAAATTTTAAATTCATAAAAGTAAAAATAATAAAAAATTATATAAGTTTAGTTGTAAAAAAATAATATCTTTTTACTTCATAAACTTTAAATTTTTAATTATTTATTTATTTTCAATATTCTTAAAACTTTGTTTTTGTTTATATGAGTTGAAGAATGTTCTCTATATCAACGCTTCCTTTAATCTTTCATATTTTAAAAATGTTTATAAAACAAAAACATAGACTTTTTTAAAAAAAATAATTTGACTAATGAATATTAAATTCATAAGAAATATTTAAAAAACAAACATCCATAAAAATAAAAAGAATAATTAAAAATATATTAAATTTTTATGCATTATTTTTTATTTTCAACATTTTTTCAAAAAACTTGTTTTCACTTACTTGAGTTGGAATGATATTTTTATAAGTTACATCAAAATTTACTTAAATCTTTTATGTATTAAAAATATTTATTAAATAAAAACAGAGTTTAAAAAAGAAGAAAAAAGATTTTTATAAGATTTGATTTACTTTTTTTTTATAAAAATAATTTTAGGTTAAATCAATAAAAAAAATTCAAAGCACAATAAACAACATTATTTACAGTGCACCTGTTACCTAGTAATACAAACAATTTCGTTATAGTCTTATAACTGTATCCAATTTTTTTAAAGTTTGATAAATATATACGATATATATATATATTTATCTTTTATATATTAAATCGAAATAGTTTTATTTGTTTTTATATTAAAAAATATATACTATATTTATATTTACAATATTTATATAAATAAAGATACTGAGTCTACTTCAATGTAAGATATTAAACTACAATTTATACTTTTTCATATGAAATAAAAATTCTTATTTATAAATTTTATTAGACTTTTTTGTTTTATTTAATTATGATTTATCATATTTACTTGTTTTATGTTTATTATTATTATATAGAATATATTTTAAGTACTGTAATATAACTACAAGTATGTACTGTAGTTCGTTCTGAGTAGTGTCATTTATATTCTTATTACAGAAGATTATACAAGCTGGATAGCAATTTTTAAAAATTATTACTATGATTTTTTAAAACAATTTTCTTTGTTTCAATTTCTATTTTTATACAGGTCAATATATCATAATTTAGAATTATTTAAGTTGCAATACTTGAAATGTATATCGGTAATAATTTATAAGAATTATGATCTGTCAAATGTTATTTCCTGAAATAATAAATATAAATATTCACTTTTTTGGTACAGGTAAATGTAAATAATCATATTCAATATAGCAAAGTGTGCAGAAAATGATAAATAATCTGGATTAAATATAATAGAATGTGTAAAAAAGGATGTGTAAAAAGTGCAAATAATCTACATTCAATAAAAAATACAGTATACAAGAACATATAACTAATCTATACAATAAGCCTACATTTAGTATATCAAATTCGGCATATTTATTTTGCTATCTGAAATAAAATTACATTAAATAAGTTTAAAATATTTCTCGTCATTTCTTTTCCGTGTCATAAAATAACGAATATATAATTTAAGTTGATTTAATTAAGTTTACATAACCCAATGTAACATTACGAAGTTTACACGTCGTGTCAACGACTGTACAAGTTTTACGTTAGGTTGCGTTCACACTGCCAATGACAACGACCACAAATCCTAAACCCTATTTGTCTACCCTCAAGCTAATCTTCCAACAAACTAAAGCATGTCAATCAAAGGCTACATCGCATTGCTCCCGCGATAAATCTCATTTCAGAGATCTAAACAGCAAAAATTATTATTTATATTACTAAAAAAACAAATAAAAAAATTATTATCATCTTATTTTTAAATTTTTAGTTTTATAACGCTTATTTCGATATATCAGATAGGCAAACGGAGAAAGAAATTGAGTACAAAATTTCAGTTTTCTTTCCTTTATTTTCTGAACAGTACAAGCGAACATACGAACTAACTATAATATAATAAAATGTGTAAAATTAAAACAAAAACCTTTTTATCACCAGAAAAATTATAATTTGAGTAAATTAAAAATCTAATGTTTAAAAAATTGCAGTAAAACTTCTTAAAATACTGTACTGTAATTGACAAATTCGAATAAAATTTTACTACTTATTTTAAAAAATGCAAAGCTTAATGAAATTCTTCAAGTTTTTAA